ATGACATTTTCAGGTTTTGTGTCTGTTCGACTATTGATGTCAATAACTCAGCTGATGAAACATGGAAAATACACTACTGTTCAAAATATTGGGGGAAGTAAGTTTCTTTTAAAAAAAAGAAACTAATACTTTTAATCAGCAAGGGCACATTAAATTGATCAATAGTGAGGGTAAAGACATCTATAATCTTTCAAAAGACTGTTTTTTAACACTGATAATAAGAAATGTTTTAAGAACACAGAATCAGTATATTAGAATGATTTCTAAAGGATCACGTGACACTGAGACAGGAGTCATGATGTTGGAAATTTATCTTTGTCATCTGGACACCATTTAAAAAAAATGACAAGATAAAATTAACATTATTAAAAGTAAATGAAATATTTAAAAAAGCACAAAATCTTAATGACCCCAAACTTTAAAAAGGACATCATTAACATAATTAAAAGTAAATGAAATATTTAAAAAAGCACAAAATCTTAATGACCCCAAACTTTGTGGCCTTACCTCTGGAAAACATACATTTCGAAAATCGTGGCATGATCTTATGTCAAATATAGCATAAATTCTAAATAAAGTACATTTAAAAAAAATATAGAAAATAAAATATAACCAATCTCCAACATAAGATAAACAACTAATAAACACCCCAAAAACAAGAAACTTGTGTGATTATTTGCTATTAAATAAGTATATTATGTGAATATTTTGATTCGGTCTTGTCACGGCTTGTTTTTATAAAGCCCATTTCTCATTTCCTATCATTCACAGGCAGTTTTGTCTCACATCCAAAGTTTTAATATGTCATAAGAAAACATAAAAGAGCGGAAATAAAGATATGAGAGTATGGTCGCTCTGTTCAGGAAATTGTCAGGTGAAATCTCTCCCCTCGTTTTTTAATGTCACAATAACATTTCCCACACACCATCTCAGCAAATCTCAGTCACCTGGCAATAAGGTCTGTTTATGACATCAGCACAAAGAGACTGCTGATTTGGAGCCACTCTGGCTGTCAGTATTAGCAGTGCTAATAAAAGTAGTAGAACGCAAAAAAAAAAATGTCATGGACTTACATTGAAGAAGAGACAAATCATTTCCAAACGCGCGTCACCAACGGACGTAGCTCAAATGCCTCTGGGTGCAATTGGATAGACCTAAAACCAATCAAAGCGATGAAGGAGATGACGTATGCAGAGCGAACTTGAATAAACGAGCATACACTGATTAGCTACTTGCTCTAAGTTTATTTAAAATGAACAGCAAGACAACTAGAAGTGAATGTGCTTTCTATTAAATAAATCACACATAGTAAACAAAACCTTAACAAAAAAAACTTTGCAATGAACTTTGCAATTTAGACGCGCAAACTGCGTGCCGGTGGGGTGAGAGGTACTGTACATGCTCGGGCAGATTCGGCTTGAAATCGTTCATCCTCGGACACGACGCCGCAACAAAAAAGCGAAATGGCCAGTCTTGTGCACCCAACGAGTCATTTTTGCCGCGCACATTTTCACGCTCATGCGGGTACGTCGAGTATAAACAAGGCTTTACTCCGTCTCAGTGCGCGCTCTGATGGGGTAAAGAGGCACAGTCCTCTTCCGAAACATCACAAATAGTAGCAGCATCCGAAGCACCACTAACTCCGCCTCTGTTCCTCTCGTAAGCTGATAATAGTATTTTAACATTCAAACAAAAAAAAAATGTGAAAAAAAAATATTTTTATAACATGGTTTTGGCAATTAGAGTTCTAATGACGGTGTTCAACTATAAAGGCCTTTGCACACCGAGTCCGAAAATTTCATATGCGTTTTTTCTTATTCGTGAATCGGTGGCTCTGAATTGTCAAAACACCATTCAAACTGCTTGCTACGGATGCTAAAAAAAAAAACAGAAAATTGAACCCGATTAGATTTTTCTTTATGACGGACGAAAGTTTTGGAGGCAGGATGTAAGCGTAACTGACATAACGGGAGGTCGTATTTATTTTTTTAACGTGCGAAAATTTCGTACGCGAATTTCGGACTCAGTATGCAATGGCCTTAACAGTCACACCCCTAGTTCCACGGCGGCATCCATCTTTGTAAAGTGTAAATGTACAAAATATGCCTACCGTCATCATGTAAAGCCTGCCCCAACGTTTCTGATTGGTGCCGCGATTTCGACGGATTAGAAATGGGCTTGAATGAGCTCTTTGCCTGACTAACTTCCAGAGCAAATCTAAATTTGCCGGAAATTATCTGGGTTTTCCCAGGCTAAAGGTTAGATACTAAAGGTTAAATAGGCAAAAGTGCAATGCTCAATATGGTGGTAGAAGTCCCACCTTCCAAATAAGAGCCATCAATTTTGTTTTCTGTCACGATTCGAGCATTTAGAAACAATATTTATGAGAAAGTTGTTGTCGGATTTCATTAGTAATTTCAAATATGAAATTCAATCGGAAGCTTAGCGAACATTTTTTTTGAGAATTTGAAGTTTCCCTTATTCAAAAAGATAGGAGCTGCACTTGCATGTCCGAGAAGCGTTTCAAAGATGGCCACCGAATGACTTATCTGATTCTAGGCAAAGTGCCTTTAATAAGACGTCTTTTGCACATGCATCTGAAAATAAATCTTGAATCCATTTTCAAAATTCACAACCAGGAGTTCAACAACTGTGACAAGACAATTGCACATTAACACAGAAAGAATATGTGAGCAAGTCTGAAAGTGAAACCTCACAACATCCTCTCTCTTATTGAGAAGAGCAGCCTGACAGGAAGGCTTATATCTATAATTAGATATACATTTGTCTGACTCTTTTTTAATGCACTACCATTACTGGTGGAGGCTCACACAAGAGGTAAGCATGTTCACACTCACACACAATGCACTCCTCCACACACTCTTGTTCTTCTCAATTTCGACAAAACATTTTGTTCTACTTTTCCACAAAGCATGAGTCACCCACTGACATATCTGAACACTATGCCGTCTTCTGACAGCACCTGAATGAGGTTTTGAAGCAATTAAAGTTAACTCTGTTAAACTGGAACCTTCTCATCAGAAAAAGAAAAACACCTTAGTTTTTAAAGCTTTTAGTCTGTTAGCCCCAAGTGCCACAGCGTTGGGATAAGGCGGCCCAGTCATTCTCAACTTGGCAGCAGTGAAGCATAGATTCCTGCATGGGCATATGGGTCCGGCGACTCACGTCTTGGAAGAGCGGGAATCCCTCCCTGCTCCCCTCCTGGACCTTAACGGCATTAAACAGCGGCAGTGACGAGCCTCTATTCGATTCAGGTGTGCCTTATCACACGCTGCCAATCCTGGGCTGTGAAATCGCCCCCTATACCCCAAAATAGGGCATTATTTAAAGGGACAGCCATTTGTAGTCGTGCTGCCGAAACCATAGAGGTTTCATAGAGAGTAAACTCACGTTACTGAGTGGACTCATTCAATCCTACATTGGGTCACAAGTCCACACAGCAGAGCCCCTTTCACACAGCAACATGACATCATGACTTTTGCGTAAACATACACGCCACTTTCGAGTCAAGTGGCGTGTTATCTCTACGCATTTTGAGCGATCCGCGTGTATGTCTACGCCATTAACGTCCGAGTGATTCCGCGTGTCTGTACACACCGTCAAATGTCCGCGCGAAACGAAGCAAAATGTAGATCTACATCTGGGGAGCGATCTTTTTTTTCCTAGTCATAAACGCCATTAACCCCAGTGACGGTTAGGTTTAGGGACGGGGTTGAGGTAAGTCATATATTTATATATACAGTAATAACGTTAAGTCAACAGCGTTCATAAACACGCTGAAAAGCGATTATGCGTCTTGATAGCACGCCAAAAATGGAAATACGAATTGGTGTGTCATACACACGCTACTTCATGAGATCAGTCTGCACACAGAGATTCTGGAAAATAAACTGATAATGTGTCCTGGGATTTGTCCCAGGATCTTTTGATTTTGGTTCTATTACACGGTCCATGATTTTCTGGAATCAGTGTGTGCGTTCACAAATATCCCATAAAGCCATGTGACATCGATGGGAGCTGTCTCTGCAGCTTCTTAAGTTTGCTTGATCTGACGTCTGTGCATTTTTTTTCTGATTCAATCATAAACTAGCGCATCGTGTACCGTTCAACTAAGCTGGTGAACGATCTCAGCGTCAACGTCATCACTACGACAGACCCATTATGGCATTGGTCCTGCCTTTTGTTCACACAGTGCGAGATCCCAACAATGTTACTAGGTCCCCATCCCAGGATCGATCCTGGGATCAATCCCTGGGTGTGTTTGCGTTCGCACGCAAGGTACTCTTGCAATTCTAGGGCAATTTTCTGGGATCAACGCTACATGTGAAAGGGGCTCATACGCTCAAATGGATTGGATGAATGGACGAATGGATTCCCGCGCATCGCGGGTTGAATTAATTCCTGTCTCGCCAGAAGATGGCGCCTGCAGCTGAATCAAAAAAAACAAAACATACTCCAATAATCTTTGTTTTACCGACAAATACAAAAAAAATCTCAGCAAATCCAGTACCCAGGTTTGCAATTTGCCTTTTACATCCGAGGCGCCATCATCAGTCCTGTGCTGGTCTACATAGCTGAATGTCTTTATGTAGCCTATACAACAGTGGTTTGAATCGTGTGACCACCACAAACAATAGCGATTCTGGCCACTTAGACGTGCCTCATTTCACCTTCCCCATTAGCACGGCGACTCATCACCTTTTCGGAGGGGACACGTCCATGTCACCCACCAACACAAACACACACACACCTGCTGTTGTAGCCTGAAGGAGAAGGGTTAATTCCCCCCACCCTTATATACACAAACAAACAACACTCGTGCAAACCAACCGTTTGCATACTCGCACCCCCCCCCCCCCCAGCAGTCAGCTGTTAGTCAGGGGGAGGGGGTGTGAAGGGGAGAGGCTAGCAGAGGTCTTTGTGAGAGAGAGAGAGAGAGAGAGAGAGAGAGAGGGGGAACGGAGCGTTCCATTTCTCATAGATGAGCAGCTGCTAGGCAGGACTGTCTTGAAAGCAGAGAGACAGTGAGAGAGACCATTTGGTGCCTGAACGCGAGCGAGGGAGGGGGCGAGAGAGACGCACACACTCAGCGTGAGCCTCTGGTTTAAGTAGACACTAACCGTGCGTTTAGGGAAACCCACAGTCTCAGCTCCCTGGGATACAGGAGTTTCTGGCCCTGCTCTTTTTCCCCTTTTCATTCTTTTATTTTACTCCCTCCATCTTTTCTCTTCTTCCCTTTGCCTACGGAAAGCGCTGGACCACTGTTTTCTCCCTGAAACACGCCAAGCCGGTAAGAGGGCACTCTTAACTATTTCTGTTTCCCGCTTTTTGTGTGTCAGTGTCTTTTTCTGCTTCGTTCATCCTCATTGCTTGGGTAGAGAGAGATGCTGCTGATGTTCTAGCATAATACCTAGGTGATGCTGTACCGGCATCCATCGAAGCCGGCTTATACTGGGACTGGGTGCGGAAGAAGGAGGGATTGGAGGAGAGGGAAGGGGGTGTTCTACTTTTTCAGCCCCAAGATCGGTCAACTGGGGCTCGTCCTCTTTCACTGCAGCACATGGCAGAATGCACACATCGACACACAAACACACGTACACCTATTAGTCTAACCAGTACTCAACCTCTGATATTAAGGAGGTGTTATGGATGTTCTCGTTGATCAACCCTTTTGTGGACATAGAAGCGCCTTCCGTTTAGGCAGAGTGATCTTCATAGAGATGACATTTTATTCCCCGGAGACATGCAGAGGCATTTGTTGTAAACGATAAACCACACAGGGCTAATTAGGTTGCATGCATGTGTGCAGCTTGTGCATTGTTATAGCTAAAAACATGTAGCATGTGAACGGCTGAGAGAAATGAATGAAATCATGAATGGAGAGATGAACCACTCCTTTTTTCGATTAGTTCTCGTTCTCATGAGCGGGATATGGGAGAGGAAATTCACACCTGAGTGGGGTGGGGGGGAAGAAAGAGGTAGATGTATGAATGAAGCCCTAGAATATGGAGTCTGGTCATATATGTCCGGAAATGAATGCTTTCGATTGTAAAAAAAAAATCAGGTTGGGTGAATACAAGATCTGTAATTTACTGAATATTTAATGCACGGGTAAAGAACAGCTTTATACAATCATTATACAAAATCATTGTTTTTTTTTTTTTTTTTGCATAATTAAAATTTGTGTTAACTTGAATTATACAAAATTTGATGTGTAATCTACTCATCAAAATGCACATAAATTCAGTTGACAGCTAAATGTAATGCATATGTGCATATTGGGTAGGTATTTATTTTATGAATACTTGAAATGCTTCTTAAACGAAAAAAGTTCTGAGTTTTATCTTTAAATCACTATAAGCCTCATTAGTTTGTGTCAGTACCACACACATCAAGATGTCAGTTTAGCAACAAAAAAAGTGCTTTACCCTAATATGAAATCAATCTGAGGCTGAAAATGTATTTACTTGTCTGTTGCTAGGACACTCCCTTTGAACATTTTATACGAGGCCTCTGATTGGCTGCAGCCAATGATGCAAGTTTCTCACCCCAAATCTTTCCCCTTCGCCCATGGAAACATGCCTGTCTGCATTTCTTCCTTTCCTTCTCTTTACACATCCATGTCATAGACCGTCTGAACCTTGTGTCCATCCAGCATCTCGCTAACCCTTCTTTGTTTCAATCAGGCTAGATGGATAGAGGGGTGCTGATCCCTTTCTCTTCGTTGTATTCTTATTTCAGAAATATCTAAAAAATAAATCTACTGGCTGTAAGAAAGAAAAGCATTAAAGCTCAATACAGTAGCAGTTCATTCTCAGCGTTGATGTGTGATTTCTGCGCCAGTGCTGGTGGCAGAGACTCTGACCCCCACCTTCACATGAGCATTATATATGTGCTGTACTGTAAGTGGGTCAGTGTAGAATATGTGGCATGACATGTGTCTCAGGCAAGTGGCCTGAAGCTGGACAGTCATAGAGCGTGGGAATCAAGAGAGAAGGGGGCTGAATTGTCTTTGCTAACCTTGTCAAAAGGTTCCATCATCTCCACTGCAGCTTGACCCATGCCTTCATAATGCATATGTATCAAGCTCAGAGGCTGAATATCGTGTAGAATACAAATAAGACTTACACTCTGTAGTATTAGACCTATTTTATAATACTGATATCACTTCAACTATTTAGCTTCACTTACCAAACAATACTGTTATCAAACAGGTTTTCCCTTCACACCAATAACTTCCTTTTGTATTAGGGACAGTTCGCCCAAAAATGTATATGTAATTTACCTTCAAAAAATCTTTAAAACACAAGATTTTATGAAAAATGTTGGGGTTCAAGCAACAGCAGATCCCATTGACTTCCATTATATGGACAAAAAAAACAGACGTTGCGCATCTGTATATGTGGAGTCATGTATGATTTAAAAGGAACACCTCGCCAAGCGATTTTTAGCTTAGAGCCATTTATCTCCATGAAGATGGTGACATCTTTCATGAGAGGCCTAATGGATTAACTTTGAAACAGCAATAAAACACAAGGCTAATTTTAAACAACCTGATAATACGAACCAAATCGAACTAAATCCTTAGAGCGATCAAAATGCTGGATTAATGTCTACACCGCTAACTTCAGTTCAAAAGACATTTCAAATAAAAAGATGAGGGATTACAGAGCCATTCTGAAGTGCAAAGGCACACATACTATTTTTGTATTTTTTTTTTTATCCCTCTCTGATCCCCTCTTAAAATCCCACTATACTTTCACTTTAATGACTTTAATGACTTACAGGAATAATATCACAAAATTTGCCAATGGATCTCATGGCATATTAATGAAGTTTCTAAAGGAAGCTTAAAAATTTGTCTCGCTAAACGAGGTCAGGCTCTTTATCAAACTTTCTTTTAATGCTTATAATTAATTGAAAGAATTTGCAACTTCATTTACCCTCAATGTGTTCAAGTGGAAGGAACATAATTGTGATTGATTTAGCCATTTTCAAGATCAGTGTCTCGCTTCAAGTGCATGTTGGCACTAATCCTTCAAATAAATGAAGCTCCATTTTCTTACGTACACATGTACATTGCTCAGAACATCTGTCAGAGGAAATGGTTACTGATACTATATTAGGTCATGGTGACCTGTCCACATTTTGATTTCCTACAGGCCTGAGGTGAGAGCAAAGGCTGAGACAGCGCTATACGATATGGTATGTCTATCTAAAGTATCTGCATATAGGTCAGACACTTTACACTGATGCAGACTCTTTCAGAAGGACAATAATGTATCTAGATTACAGAAGATAGTTTCAGGACCTTTTTATGCTTTTGCATGCATTTTATGATCAGTGCATCACTACCTTCGGAAATATGAGAGTTGCAGAGGTATGTTTAAACTCAGTGTCCATTGCCTTGATGTCTAGCATGCTGTTATGGAAACAGCTTGTATACATTTTAATACTTAAATGATTAAGTGATTAAAATATCCAAACAGAATAGTAAAAAATGACTATCCTTAAAGGCTGGTTCACAATATTGGGGCAGTGAGAACTGCCATGCAAGACAGAGACTTGTTTTTTTGTAGACAGGCTCTGAGGGGTAGAGGCAAAGTGAGTGATGGTAGAGCTGATACACAGTTTCTCATCTCCTCTTATCTATCTATCTGCCCTGCAAAATCTGAGCAGCGAGAAAATGGAAGTTGCTGCCAGACATCCCACCAAAACCTTTAATGAGCAATCAGAAGCTTGAGGAGCAAGTTAACACAAATCCGAATATCCTCGCTCCAAGTTTTTAAACTGGGTCATATTTAAATTTCCATTAGTTATGGACAAGCCTCATTGTACCTCAATGCTCAGGTATTTAAACGATGCCCAATTGGCACTAAGAGGTCTAAACTGTGCCAATTAAACATCCCCCACACCATTACACCACCACCACCAGCCTGCACAGTGGTAACAAGACATGATGTGTCCATGTTCTCATTCGGGTTACGCCAAATTCTGACTACCATCTGAATGTCTCAACAGATATCGAGACTCATCAGACCAGACAACATTTTTCCAGTCTTCAACTGTCCAATTTTGGTGAGCTCTTACAAATTGTAGCCTCTTTTTCCTATGTGTAGTGGAGATGAGTGGTACCCGGTGGGGTCTTCTGCTGTTGTAGCCCATCCACCTCAAGGTTGAGTGTGTTGTGGCTTCACAAATGCTTTGCTGCATACCTCGGTTGTAACGAGTGGTTATTTCAGCTGCCCCATTCTCCTCTGACCTCTAGCATCAACAAGGCATTTTCCCCTACAGAACTGCCGCATACTGGATGTTTTCATCCCTTTTCACTCCATTTTTTGTAAACCCTAGAAATGGTTGTGCGTGAAAATCCCAGTAACTGAGCAGATTGTGAAATACTCTGGCACCAACAACCATGCCACGCTCAAAATAGCTTAAATCACCTTTCTTTCCCATTCTGACATTCTTGACCAGGATCACACCCCTAAATGCATTGAACTGCCATCTGATTGGATGATTAGATAATTGCATTAATGAGAAATTCAACAGGTATTCCTAATAATCCTTTAGGTGAGTGTATAAATAATTATTGTGAAAGGTTTATACAAAAAACTGTGGTGTTCACTAGTATAAATCTGCATCTTAAAGCAAAGTCATCTGATAATCACTGCTTTAAGATTCTTATTTCTCATATTTTGATTCAGGCTACCCTGATAAAGATGTTTTAGATGCTGATCTTCGGTTTGCTATAGTGTGTTGCAGTGATGCGCGGGTTGATCCGAAATGAGCGGGTGCCTGCGGTCACCCGCGGTTACCCGCAGTTACGGGTCATCCAAAAATGTTTTTAATGATATTCGGGTCGCGGTCGGTCGGGTCGTTTGAAAAAAAGATGCCAATTAAACATTTGTATTAATATAGTACTAGACACAATTTTTGATGAAATATAGCCTACAGCCCTACACATTATTGGCTGAATAACTGGCACGAAACTGCCGCTGTCCCTGTGCGTTCGGTAGTACGCAGTATGCGCAGTATCAGCTGCTCGTGCTCATCACTTCTCTCAACAGTGGCACCAACATGTCTCGGTTCAGTGAACTGTTGGAGTTACTGGAGTAAAATATAATTCGGGATATTGATTTATTTCGTTTCGGAGGGACTGTCAGGCATGTCTGAAACTGAAAGTGAGTAACCTTAGTAACTTGTGGATCAGCGCTGACGCAAGACGCCAACTGTTTCGAACGATTCAGTTCTATTTAGTGCACTGGTTCGACCGGTTCACTAAAAAGAACCGGTTCAAAAGAACGATTCGTAGACGAACCGGCCATGTGATCACTACAGCAGAGAGATGGAGGCGGCAAGAGAAAAGGTGAAGACTGTGGAGTGGAAGCTCCGCAAATACACAAATAGAAAGAGTAAAAGTGTGGGAGACATTTGCTGAAATAATGAAAGATGATGACCAAAGTGCTGGCTTTGCCATTGTTATGTGTAGGCCTCTTCTTGCGATGCTGTGTTGTTACACGAGATGTCCCAATAACGCTCCGATGAGCATTTACTACTTTTAAAAAATGCGGTCAGGAAGCGGGTCGGGTACAATATTTTTTTTACTTTTTTTTGCGGTCCGAGTTGCGGGCGGGTAGTTGAAAACGTCGGTCGGTTGCGGGTTGTTTATACATTGACCCGCGCATCACTGGTGTGTTGATGTCCCAGCAAGACTACTTTGCTCCACCAACTAGAACGACCAGCATAAACCAGCTTGAGCCATTGGATGTTGGTCCAGTTCAGCTTGGACCATTCATGTTGGTCTTTTCCAAATGGTTCTGAACTAAGACATCAGGTGTGATGGGCGCTTTATTCCAAGGAGACTGCAAGTGTTCTTACTATATTTAGCGACTGGTTTTGCTCCCTGACCTTGAGCAGGTGTGTTCCACAAGGGGAGCAAGGCGGCAAGAGAAAAGAGTAAAACAGACACAAACTGGCAAGACGTTGTTTGCTTGACGAGCTGCCAGAATGGCTCAGTCACACCAACAGCAGTGATGACGTGTAAGGGTCTTTTGTTTAAACGTCTCAAAGGATCAACAGAGTGATATCCCAATGCACGGGGCACGTGCCAGTGTTAAAATCTTTGGGTAATTCTCTAATTGATACTTTCCAGTGTTTCACCAACAAACTTTCTACTAAAATCATAGCTAAACTCTCAGCGGATGTTCATCTTTCAAAAACAAGATAAAAATGAGTCTGAGGATAGATTTTAGTTATTACGGATCTGGATATTGCCACTGTATTTCTACTGAGAGGACAATGGAGCAAAACAGTGAAATCAAAAATCCATTTATCAACTCGTGACTGTTCGTTTGATGTTAGCTCATTGTTTTGCTAATAAGGCTCTAAAAATGCAATTCATTGGAAAATTCCAAAATCTAAAGATTCATTTTGCTCTATAATTAAATTCCAGTCATCAAAAGGAATGAGCAAAAAGATGAGAGATTCTCTACGATCAAGACTTTTGTCTCCCGTCAAGCCCTTGAGCAAAGGCACACAATGCTAATTTGCAATTGCCCTCCGTGCTTTTCTCCGGTCTCAGCCTTTTTTCTTCCAGCGCCGTGGATGGAGAGAGCGTGGGGGAGGGGTGGCGGTGGAGAATTGTTCCTCTCTTTCTCTCTCCTCTTTCCAGTTCCTGCACTAGCATGTTTTGCTGTTCTCCAATGTTGGCATAGGTGACAAGGGGTCTGATGATGGCCGAGCATCCTCAACCCTGTCAGCTGTAGCATTGGATTTCCATTCATTCGCTTCATTCGCCCTTGCCGCTGCCATCTCCCATCAAGCCCAGAGGCGAGCTTACTGTCAATACCGATTTCTCTTTGAGGACCCGCCGTGCTATGCTAATGCTATCTCCACACACACACTGCAAGAGCTTTAACGAGGCCCATTAAAAAGTTGGATGTTCATGTCATAGACAGGAAGTGAGAGGGATAGGCAGAGTGAAAAAGGAGAAATCATCACTACTATTATTCCCTGACTTCCCTTGTGAAAAAGAAGTACACTTTAGCATACTTTTGAAAAAAGTATGCGGAAGTAATACACTTTCAGTAAATACGTGTGCCAACTGAATTCAATGTGTTCAAACATTTAATTGTATGTTAATTGTAATTGTAGGACTCAAGTATATCTTTACATGTAATTTCATCATTCTATTGTCTTTGAATCATGGCTAAATTTTACAGAATTTAACGAAACCCGACAATAAAAATTAAAGAGCTTTTTGCCATTTGTTCATTTCTTTTCATTTCATTTTTTGAAAGTGCTTCTGTGTTTTAAGTATATTAATGAGTCATTTTTGATAATGGCAGTACACTCTAAAAAATGGTTCATTGGCTTGTAATCATAGGGGAACCAATATACCACCCATCTTTGTGATATGGTGCTACGTAGAACCATAAGAGGTGCCATAGAGCATGTTAACCACCCCAGAGAACCGCTGAAGAACCAAACTGGGCTTAACAGGTTCTGATGAACTCCTGAATAACCTTTTTTTAGAGTGTACTGTGCAGTTTCTCCCACATCCATGTATAATAACTTTATGAATTTAAATCATAAATAAATGAAGCACATTCCGATCAAACAGATGGCTCATTCAAGGTTGATAATGTGTAGGCTTGGAGACTTTTTGCTCTACTTTGAGAACCGCATTTTCACATATTTAAATGATTAGTTCGCCTCAAAATGAACATTTACTCACCCCAGTGCCATCCAAGATACGGCACCGTGGATTTGAGGTTTTTTTGAGGAAAGTATTTATGAATTTTTCTTCGAATAATGGACCAACGTTTTGAAGTCCAAATCAATGGAGCTTCAAAGTTCTTCAAAGTTCACGATCTCAGCTGAGGAAGAGTACATATTACAGTACTTCCCCAAAAGGTACTGATATGAGCATTTAAGGGGCATATAAGGTACTGCCCCAAAGAAAAGCTGTAGCATGCCGGAAGGTACATTTTTTGTGACAATTCAGAGCAGACTGTTTGAAATCTGAACAACCAATGAGATTTCCAGTCCGTTGGTGAGCCTAAAGCTTCAAAAACTGAAAATAAAGGTGACATTAGTGCAAATGGAACTATAAAATAACGTTAAAAGCCTTGTGTAAAGACTGAATGCTGAAGAGAACATCTGTTCCAGTTTCCTCAGAGAGCTCTTTATTGTAATGCAAGTCATTTAGATTAAGTCCTTTTGAAGTTACTTTGACCTGACACAGCATTGTTAGGATGTCACTGGCAAAGGTCAGAGTTCATTAAGAAATTCTTGACCTTATGTTTTGTTCACTGTGACATGTACATAAGTCAATACCAAGTACAAACCATTACAACTTTATCCTCTTACATTTAAACACTCTTTTTCTTCTGGGGGTGGACAGGTTTGATCTATGCACTAGGTATGGCCTCAAAGACATTTCTGGGTCCCAGATGACCCTGGATGACCCTGTCTTCAGCACGGTCATTAAGTCTGAAATCCCCCAATGCTGAAGTGAATTTAATTGCAGGTCATATACCGCAGGCTGGACTATATTGAAATTCCACAGCATGCATCCAACACGGTTATAAAGATTATCACTGTAAAAAAAAAACATTTTCATGATTTGTAATCACAACATTTTTTCTTTGGTCAAACCAACTTAAATAATTTATATAGTTCAGATAACTTAATATTTTGAGTTTCTGATGACTAAATCAATCTCTTTCATTGTTTTAACTCAATTTTTCCATTTCTAAGAACTAAGAATTTTAAGGCAACCAGGTTACATAATTTTTTAAGTTAAACCAACAATATTTCATTACAGTGTAGCTACTTTATAGAAAAACAAATGGTTATACGCTGCCATTTAAACGTTTGAACAGTTGAACGGTGTTTTATATATTTTCATAATCAGTGTGTTGCTGTTTTTTAAAGGTAAAGCAAAATTTCATTGCTTGAGTCAATGACACAAGACACAATGTTTCCTTTCTGGGTATTTTAACAACTTTAAACAGTAGAATGGATTCCGAGTCAGCCTGCATCATGTTGGTGTGGTAAATGATCCCCACATATTATTGTAGAAGTATCAAATCAGTCATAAAGCCACTGCAGTGAGCAGATAGCTTTGTGTGCTGTGATGCACAATGTGCTGCACACTGCCTCAGATTTATGAGAGACATTGCCGCATAATGCATTGAGCTAACCATTTACGTGGCTCCTTATGTGAAGGGTTATACTGGGGTGGGCGAGTGTGTTTGCTGGATGTAATGATAGATTGGTGGCCGGCCCTGCCACTCAAGAAATGAATCAGATTGTGACCTGTCAAACATATATAATATATCCCTCCCCAGAGGTTTATCACTTTATTGTCTGCCGGAGTGACTGCTTTCAAACAAGCCTCTGTATGTAAGCACAGCCATAACCTTAATAACATAGCAAAACATATTGCCATATTGTTCACATTCTGAGCCTTTTTCTCTGAATTCAACTAATCTGCCTTTATTTTTCGTCGTTTCTCTCAGGTAGTGGAGGCTGATGCTGTGATACACTGCAGGAGAAACATACAGGCTCTCATTTGATGCAGTGAAGTGCTCTGTGAGGAAAATCGCAAGCAAAGGTAAGAACCGAAAGCAATGCGGCCGCATTCGCCAAGTCATATGGATAGAAGGCGAAAGCCTCAGAAGTGTCTGAAAGCAACTGTTTTCCATCTGCCCACTTTGTGATGGTGCAGATATAGGCTACTTCTCGGTTTCAGCACAAACAGCAGAGTCACAACTCTAATCAAAAATAGCCTACGAACAGATGCCATGCAGAAACATTTATAGGCATTCGTTTCGTCCCTTCATCTCTTTATATGCAGTAATATAATCATGAACAGATATTTGAGATAAAAGCTTTACTGTTAAAGTTA